AACATGAAAATGGAGTGTTGTTCCTAGGTGGGGTCAGGTGTGTTAAGCCCACGTACAACAATGAGTCTCTAATGGTGCCTGAAGTGAACACGACATCTATTAATAAACTACCATTTAAATAATTTTTCACAAAAGCTAGGTCACATAAATATTTTTATAGAAAACAGAGTAGTAATGTTTTATGACTTGGGTTTGCAGATCGCCTGTTACTCTGACCTTCACATCTCCTGTCAATTTTCTCATACTCCATGACTTAAAGACACTAAAACACACCCTAAAATTTTTAAGGAAGCACACGTCAGTATTGATCAAGCAAAGGCCTGGCCCTCAGTAAGCCTTGGTTATAAAGCTCTCCTTCCTCTGCATGTTTGGAGAAACACCCAGAAGCCTGATATTTCAGCTGATGGTGGAAACCACAGCAGTAAAAACTCCAAGTGCTCATCTTAAATTAGGACTCTCAGTGCTGCGTGTGAGATCTCTGTATTTATGTTCTTTTTTTATGACATTCGGAAGTTCTGTGGGTTGCTTTGATGCTACTCCGCTAATAAAACAGAGGGGAAAGCCTGGAAAACAAAAGTTATTTACTGGAAATTCTCATGTCAAAACTTGAAGTAATTGGTTTGTTCTAGCCCACATGATTCAATATTCTGAATTCCCTAACTACCTGCTCCCAGGCCATCTACATTTCTAAATTTGTTTTCTGTTGCCAACACATACCAACCTAGTGATTGAGAATGGCGGCTGAAATACTTCAGATGCACATTAATTTCTCTCTAAGTAGCCCAATTTTGTCATCTAGATTCTGAAAAATCTTATTTTCACTGCATTTCACACCTTTAGGGAATTGTCAAACCCGGGATCATAGAAAATGAAGAATGATATTTTCAAGGCAATTTTTGGATGATCACTAATAGCGCTCAAGGAAAGGACGGTATGCTTTCTTCATCACTTGGCAGTCGAAGCAGAGGAGTTCAGACAATGGGAGCACAGGAGACACAATTGCTGTCAATTATGTCGCCCACCCCAATACCACAGTACTTCTTTAGCTACTGAACAAAGCAGATAAACAGCTATCATAAAATGTTTGCAGGGTGATGCTCTCCTTTGGAAAGGCACTAAAAAACTCATCTTGATCTGAAAACAATTATCACCCCATTAAACAAAAGACTAAACTATTTAGGCAATTAATGGTAGGTTCCCCCCCAAAATTGCTACATTAGAATTCATTTCCATTATTAAAATAGAAGTCAGGAATCCCAACCTTAAGTAAATAATCCTTCCTCCAAGAAAAGAATGTCAGCTGGGGGTCAAAAGCAAACATCACAGGTAAACCAAAAAGAAAAAAGAAAAAGGAATAAAAAGACAGGAAGGAAGGAGGGAAGGAAGGAAGGAAGGAAGGTTGGTTACAATTTTCAAGCATTCTGTTTATCTTTAGAAATCAGTTTTGAAAAACTGAAGTGAAATAAATACAAGTAATTTTCCCCATAAGAAAAGAGCTCTCTCTTGACCTCTTTGCCCTCCACAAATGCCCCACAGATGAGTTTCTTATTTCTTTCTTCACTCAAGTTCTGGGTTGCTAAAGGAAATTCAGACAACACAGTGCTCTATACACTGAATCAAACAAACTCAGTGTTTTCTTGAAAAACAACTTTAAGCTAAATAAAAAAAGTAGAAACCCTTTCCAAGCTGATACTTGTATCAGAAGTTGTGTTAATATAGCTCACATGGGCTTTTAATTTTCAACAAGCTCTACTTCCTTTTATTCCTATTAAATTAGCAAGTATATAAAAAAAAGTTTCCAATGTGTAGCAATGAGTGTCTTATCACAAAATAGCTACTGTTATATAGACTAATTGGAAGCCCTTCTAATTGTAATAACAGAGCAAAGTGTGTCATGGAAAAGCTTTAGGTTACACGCTAAGGCTTTCTTAGAGTCTTCCACTAAAGGCACCCCAAAAGAAACGCAACAGAGACTATCCTAAAAACAAAAGGTCACCGTTCCCCTAAGAACAAACCATTTATCAATAGAAAAGAATTGTCTTGCCATCTGCAAGCGCTCCAGAGCAACAGACAATGTTTCTTAGCTCCCATAATTGCAGAACGGGGAAAGTTCGGCAGCACAGCCTGGACGCTCCTTCCAGCCTGCACCCTTTACAATTCCCATTGCCCTTTGGGCCTCTGCTGGGAAGCAAAAGGAAGGCAGGCTGCAGTTTTCTCAATTGAACTGAAGCTAAGAAACCTTTGATATGCTAATCGTCCCCTTCAAACGGTAAGAATTCACACTCGCGTTAATTCAAACAATTTGAGCAGCATGTGAGATGGCACCTCTTTTAGAGCGAAGCAACAAAAGGAACTCAACGGCAGAGCGAGCGTTCCTCGGGATTCCATCACGCACCAGTTTACTGGACGGCGGAGGGAGGGAAGACAAAGTTCGAACACACACCTGAACTTAGGCAGATTTCCTTAAGGCGTCTCCAGGGGTACCCGGTAAACATCAAAGGACACTCTACCATTTATAGTTACCTTTGGCTAGTTCTAGCCAACCTGGACGCTGTCCCGGTCATCCCCCCCAAAAAACTTCTGCATCTCTGTGGACGAACCAGTGCTTCTTTTAGCGCCTATTTCTCAATGCTCACCCGCCAAAGACCCCGACTTAGCAAGTGACTCCCAACAGGCAACCCCTGACCCAACGGGCGTGCCTTTCTTCAAGGTTGGAACTAGAGGTAGGTAGCGTCAACTGGGAGGACGGGCTCAAGACTTAAGACTGCAGGGGAGGGGTGGGGGATGAATGGACCAACTACCGGGGAAACGACGCCTCTGGAAAGGGGCAACATGCAGGGGGACCCAGAACCCGGGAATGCAGAAGAATCAGCAGCGGGGGAGGGGGAAGGGGTCCTCCTCGGAAACCTGGCCTTTGTCACGGCAACCATCTGGTTGCCGCCGAGACTCAGGCGCGCCCAGGCTGCCTGGAGAAGCGGCTGAGCAGCCTGACACCTTCGTGAAGCGGGAGGGAAACGTTTCCTCCGTCTGAATATGAGACAGCACTGTTTGTATCTGGAGGAACGCAACGGAGGGGCCGGAAAGAGGGGGAAAAGAGAGGGAAGGAGGCTGGGGGAGGAGCCCCCCCAACACGCCAGGGAAGGGCTATGATGGGCAGCGCAGGACGTTGCCTTTAGAGGACAGGCAGGAGGACCAAGGGCTATAAACACCCAGGGAGACGCACGTGCCTCGGCCTCTGCTCAGAGACAGCCCCGCACTCGCTAAAGCCGCCAGCGATTTCTTCTAACCCAAACCCTGCAGTTCGAAGAGAAAGGGAGGGGAAAAAAAAAACTTTGCTGGCCCAAGTGCAGGAGTCCTGCACACTCAGGGACGCCTTCTCGCCGTGGGTCGCCCTCGTCCCTGTGGTGTGGCGCAGGATCTCGAATGCAGGAGCCCACGCCAGCGACCCCAAGGGTCTCCCTCCCTTCGAGCTCCTCCCACGACTCCCTCTCCCTGCTGCTTCCAAGCGGGGGCTCGCACACGACCTAGCAGGCTCCCCACCCCAAAGGCAACCCGGGAGCCCACGCCCCTTAACTTCTCCTGCAGGCCCAGCGCGGCCCGCTGCTGCCCTCTCACTGCCGGTCCTGGAGCTTCTCTGTCCTGGCCCCGGCTCGCTGAGTCCCCGGGCCCCCGCCACCCTCCCGCCCCGTCGCCGGGCTCCCCCGACCCCCGGCAGCAGGCGCCCCTAATCGCTGCCAGCCTGGAAACCGGCGCGGCCACATCTGGGTGTGTTTTTCTCCCATCCTCGCCTCTCGGCACCACCTGACCAACGACAAGAAACGACGGCCCGCAACAACTCATCCAAGCCCTCCCCCGCAGTCCCCTTCCCAGGGACTCGCTCCCGGGGACAAGCCACGGACGAGTCCCTGCCGAGCCTGAGGCCCAACACCTGGGGCGGGACAGCCCGGCCGAAAACGCACTTCACAGTCCCCTCCCAGCCCCGCTGCGTAAAGAACCAAGGGCACCTTCTGGTCCCCAAGCTTTTGAAGAAATGCCCCCCCCATGCAAGTCTAGGCTGGAGCTGCCTCGCAAGCCCGCACCCCCGCCTTCTCGGTCCCCAGCAGCCAGCCTGATTCCCGAGAGCGTGACAATAGCCACACGCGGCCCGGCGAGCGGGCTGCACCGCACAGAGTTGTGCGGATCGATGTCGGCGGGAAGGGCTGCGCACCGGTGGCCAGCGCAGTTCGGACCCCGGCGGCACGGCCACCTCCGAGGCGTCAGACCCATCATCAGGAGGCGCCCAGCAAACAGGTCTCCGAAGTCGGGCACAGAGGCACATTGTTGTCGCTTACCTCGGTGTGTGCCCCGGGGGAGGGCCAATCTGGTGCTGGGTGCCGTGCGGGGACACGGACGCTAGAGAGGGGGCCCCCGGCGACCGGCACGGGTGCTCCTGGCGGCCGAGCGCGCGCGGCGAGGTGGCAGCCACGGCTGGCGGGCCGGACCACGGCGCCGCTCGGCTCCTCGGCGTGTCCTCCGGCTCGAGTCTCCAGCGCCGTCAGCCGCCGAGTCCAGCCAAGCAGCCCAGCGGCCCGGGCGGCTGCCGGGGGCTTAAGTCAACATCTTCCCGCAGTTTCCCACACGCCGCTCCGCGACACCGGGGGGTCGGGGGGGCGGCTTTGCCCACACACGCGTGCGCGCCTACCGCCGCACGCTCCCTTCGGAGCCAAAAATCAAAATTCAAAAACCAAAAAGATGCGGGGATCGGAGAGCGAGGCAGGCGGAGGTGCGCCGACTCGGGAAGTCTCCTGGCAGCGGCGCGGGGTGGGGGGAGATGGAGGAGGGAACGAGCCCGGGGAGAGCGAGGCCAAGTCCGTCAGTCTGTCCGGAGAAGCCCGGAGCGCGCGGGCAGGACCTGCATCCGGCGCACGCGCCGCCCCTGCGGCCTGGGGCACGACTCTGCCGCCGGCCCTTCCTCACAAGTCGGGGCTCCTGGCCTGAGGGTTGGGGGGTGGTGGGCTCTGCGGACGCAGGAGACGAGGAACTCGGGGTCGCGGGGGGAAGGAAGCGACGGGAGGAGCAGGGAAGAGCCGCGCCGATGCACAGCCGCGGAGGGAGGCTGGTCCCCTCAACAATCGCCAAGAATCCTCCTCCGGTAAGCTCCCGACGGCGCTCGGGCACCTCTGCGTGCGTGTGCGTGTGAGTGAGTGTGTGTGTGCGCGGGTGTGAGTGTGTGTGAGCGCCGAGAGAGTGAGAGCTAGAGGAGGAGAGCGAGGAGAGCAGGGAGCGAGAGACGGGGAGCCCGAAGTCCTGACACGGACTCAGCTAGGGCTGAACTGGAGTCACCTCCTGCCTCCTCCTCCTCCTCAGTCCCCACCCCCAGCCCCCACCCCCCACCCCAGGACTGCTAATCATATAAACATATGAGCTGCGGACCCCGGCGCAGCATCCGTCCCTCCCTCCCGCCTTTGCCAGCCAAGGGGCTTGTGCAAACTCCAAGGAAGACAGGCAGCTGAGTCCAAAACGCGGAGCAGATAATCTAGAACTCATTGCGCCCAATGGCCATTTTCCACTCCATTGGAGCAGCTGCGGTAGCCGGGCGCCCGAGCGCTGGGCAGAGAGAGGAGGAGGAGGAGGAGCGAAGGGGACACTTACAGGCGATCTAGCCTTGCGGGTGGCGGTGGCGACGGCCGAGCAGCCGCCCCAAGACTGGCCGGCCCGGGCTCGGCCCGGTGGGGCGGCCACAGGGCTTTCCGGGAGGCGCTGGTGGCAGTGGCGGCGGGGGACGCGCGCGCACGGCCGCGGAACGCGCCCCAAAGGCGCCCGCGCAAGCTCGCGCCCCTCCCCCTCTCCTCCTCTTGGCTATCGGCTGGCGTCCCCCACGCCACCCCACCCCCAGCCAGGTCCCGGGGTTCGGTCTCCAGCCTTCACCCTCTGCACCCCGCCCCCCCCCAACTCCACTCTGGGCGAGCCCGCTGCACGCTCTCCAGCCCGCGCGCACACATGCACTTTCCAAACATCGCTTTATTTCGGGATCCCGGTGCAGGGGATCCGGGAGAGCCGGGCGTTCTGGCCACCGGGGGCCGGGCACTGGGGCCGCTGGGGCCTGCAGCTTGGGACCCCGTTCCCTATTTCCCTCTTCCCCTCCAGGCCCAGGAGCTCACTCCTTGCCAGGACTGCGTCGGGACGCTCTGGAAGCGTCTTTTACCCACCCCGTCTCCAGGTTTTCTCTGCTCCACGCGCCCCGAGCCGGAGGCTCCGAAACTTTTTAGTTTCCGCAGCCCTCCTTTTGTGTGACTGCTCGCAGGAGAAAGGAGGTCTGTTCGCCGCCGCTGACTCTGTCCGGCTGCCGCGCGCAGGGGACGCTCCAGGGCTAATGCGTCTTTGATACCTGAGATTTCCGGCGCGCTCGTTAACGAAAGTTACATTTTTTTTTAATTGCGATGACTTTTGCTTTGTAGTTACGTAGAGCTAGCTAAACTTTGACTTTATTGACTATATTTCACAAGGGCGTTCTGTTTGTTTTTGATTAAACTCACCAGGATATGCAACGGAAGGGAAGGAGACTGCAGGGCTTTGCTTGCTAGAGCATCCAGGGTCCTTTTAGATCTGTCTCCCGTTTCCTTACATTGAAACCGCGGAAGCTCTTGTCCTCTCCAAACACTTCCCTGTCCCTCTCTGCTGACAGTGTCAGCAAACCACAGAAACAAGCTGAAAGGACCAGACCACAACAATATCATGCTAGGAGAAAATAAATTAAAATAAATAAATAAATAAATAAACGGAGGTAAATAGTCAAATCTGGATTTTTGTTTCCATTCCAAGATTTCTGAGCACAAACAGTAAGTTTTCCTTTGTATTCATAAACTACCGAGTGAGTTAATGAACTCAGCCATTTGCCTTCCGAGAAACTGATTCTCCCAGATTTGAAGCCTCTAGAAAACCGGATGAAACTCGAGCTTGTTTGCTTTCAGAAACAATATGTACTTTTTGTGACTGCGGGTATGTTGCAGTCACCACACTTCGGAAATCATTCCAAACAACGTTATTAAAATGTCAACAGGAGATTTCTCTGAAGACTCCGAAGATTCTGAATATCAATTAGCATTTGCATTTTGTCACAGAGCCAAATATTTGCAGCACTAAAGTCGTTCAAATACCGGTCAATTGCGTTCTTGACTGTAGAAAATCTGAAGTTACATGTGCACATATCCGAGTCACATTGTCATTCTCAGATTCAAAGGAGATTCTCCTATGACCCGGTTTTTTCTACTGGACGTAGGGTGCTTTTTAATTCAGCAACGTAGAGTAGCTGGGCTTCACAGGACATATGCTTTTTACTTGGAATTTCTTAGGTAAACCAGTTCAAATACCATCCATGCAGAGTTCAAGTAGTCTGTAAAACACACACCCATAAAGAGCTCTGCAAAGCACCCTAGTGTGCTTACATCTTCCCACTAGTCAAAAGCTGTACAAGGAGCAGGTCCTCCTAGAAAAGTTAAGTCCACCTACTTAAAGTAGTAGATCTTAAAATAAAGATCATTATTATCACATTTTCCTTTTTTAAAAAAATGTTTTATTTGCGAGTGTAAAACACGGTATGTCAAACTACTAATAATTTGCATTTGCTGAAAAAAAATTGAGCTCTCTCTTTTGTTCGGCTTTGAAGGTTTTCATTCATCTGCCCTGATTCACAGGAAGCCCCAGTGAGTGCACAGGCCCGTCTAATCCTATTTTCTTTGGGGAAGCAAAACTTAGCCTGAAGTTTTTATTTAGTGAGCTTAGTAAGTAATCAATAGACATTTTTGCCTGAATTAAGCTGGCCATATGTTGGCTCATTTATTTAATTCTCTGAGAAAGAATCTCTGAAAGAAACCACTGTCTACATTTCATATGTCTGATACTCTTTGATGCCCAGGACATAAAGTGAGTCACTCACTGCTATGTTTCTAAGGAGACAACATCACACACACACACACACACACACACACACACACACACACTTAAAAGGAGAAAAGTTTGCCAAAAGTGAGTTACAACTTCAGGGAACATAAAATGACCCATAAGAATTTCCAGTCTTGATTCAATAGAGTGTGTATTCTCTACAGCTCAAAGGTTCAGAAGATTTTCAACCCTAAGAATGTATACTTGCTATGCCAACACACACACACACACACACACACACACACACAGAGTGATGGTAAGGAATTTTTAATTCTTTATTATTTATGTATCATAATAGTTCAACTTTATGTGTATATATACAAGAAAGAATTGCAAGAGCAATCCAATTTAAATATTCAAGATTAAGCTGTTAGCACCAGACCTGACGTTGAAAAGGAACTGTTATGTGATACACTCCACAAAGCTGTCCACATCCAGAAGACATAACTTATCTGACACTTCATGACAATTCAAAACACAGTCTACAGCAATACAGGTGTTATGGCAGTAGAAGAAAAAAAATGAAATGAGCTGCTAAATAGTGTCTACAGATGTGAGCAATGTCAGGGGAATTGAATATGTTATTTGTTCCTAATATCCAATGGACTGGACACAACTACTCAATTGGTATTACTATTTGAGTAATGGCAAAAATCACTGACTTCTTCATCATACTTGCTAATTGTTTTTTTTTTAATAGATTCTACAAAGGACAAAAGAAACACCCATTTCCATTTGTTTTATGTTAAATCAACATCTAACCACTCATGGTGATTTCATTCAAAGAAAACAGAAGGAACTCATTAGCTTATGTGGTTAGAGAGATTGCTGGGCTTCAAACATTTTTACCATACATGTTTTCCCAACTGTAGAAACGCATGGTTTTAATTTAAACAACTTCAAGAAAGTAGAAATTATTTTATTCAGTAGGCTCATGTATTTCTGATACTGAAATCACGTTAATTTCCAAAGCTACTTGCCATCCATGTACCTTTGTTTCCAAGGAAAATCATCAGGTATTTATCAAGATACAGTCTTAGGAGTGACAGTTTAGGTAACAAGCTAAAGAAGAAAATTGAAAATGGACATAGCGGCAAAGTGTTGGAAATGGTATAAGCCAGTAAATTCAGCTGGTAGTTTCTTCATTGCCCAGCTGGAACAAACTTGAATATAAACAAACCAAGTCCAAAAGAAGCTACACAGGCCTGCAATGCAGAAGAGAGACTGGGATGTGACTGTGGGTGAAACAACCTGATGACTAAACTAAATTGGTGAAGGGGACTGTCTTGGAGGGAAGGTGGGTCTGTCATCAAGAACACATCTTTACCTAAGAAGTTGAAAAGGGGTATTGAATACAGTGGCCATAATGGTGCGCACCTTTAATCTCAGCACTGGGGAGTCAGAGGCTGGCAGATCTTTATGAGTTCAAGGCCAGTCGGTCTACAGAGTTAGTTCGAGGACATCCAGAGCTACATAGTTGAGCTACATAGCTACTTTGTTTCAAAAACAGAAGGAAAAACAAACATGAAACTACTCTCTAGTTCAAAACTACTAGGAGCAAAATTAGTTAGATTGTAGCTTAAAATAAACCTGGACCTCTTTTCTTGATACTACTCTCTGATGTTTGGTGCAGAAACAGCTCCCTGCTCCACAAAGTCCTCTGACACAATGCTCTAGGACATCTCAAGTCAGTGTGAGCCAGTGTGAACTTAACTAGAGCTGGGTGAAAGTTGCTAGCTTTGCTTTTTTTTTTTTTTTTTACTTTCTTCCTTCCTTCCTTCCTTTTTTTTTTCTTCTTTGCCATTCATGGAGCTAAAATGAAATCAAAACTCATTTTCCATGAGACCAGAAACATATGAGAGCATTTGGCAAAGCCAATAAGTTTTTAATTATTCTCTCAGCTCTCTAGGCTCAGTAAATCTTGTCCAAGAAAGCCACACATTACAAAAGAGGCAATATAGTCTCAAAATTCAGGCTAGTGAAAAGCACAATATAAATATGATTATGGTGTACTATGTTTAATGATATTATTTAGAATATATAATCATATGCATTTTAAGACCATTTTATAATTAATACTTTTAAAAAATATCCACCCATATAAGTAGCTGAATGAGTTTTTCTATACTCGTCAAGTGTTTAAATATGCATAACTATCTGTAAAGGATTATAAAATTTTTATACCATTACAATTATGATACTTGAAAGCAAGCAAATTAAAAACGATATCCCTTATAATCATTGTTCCACTGAGTTTCTCATAAGTCAAAGTCTTTCTTTTCCATAGATTGTTCCCATAACTCTTGCTAATCTCTGCACCATGAGGATTTTCTCTAATTGGGTCTTATAGATCTTCCTCTATCAAGGCTTCTGTCAAACAAAGACAGAGAAGTGTGCTGTTCCTACCAACTCTCTGTCCCAACTTCTCATCATTATTTTGTTCATGGTACATATCCTTAAGCACTTTTTCCTTGTCAGTGTGTGTGTTTAAAAATGACCATTCTCCCATTCCTTTTAATGCATGTAAACCTTGCCTATGTCAGCCATGCAGGTGAAATTTCTTTAGGTTTCTTTTAAAATTGTTGAAAATAAACCAAGATACAAGTCTCTGCATGTGTCATTCCTGGTAGATCATCTTGAGTGCAGAACAAAAGCAAAGCGATGTTTAACAGTGGCGGCTGCTCCACGCTGAACAGCAGCCCCACCGAATCCTCACAATGGGATTGTCCATGGCTCAGGGAATATGGCTTTGTCTATTCATATCACAGTCCAATGCATTATGGGTTGAACTTGCTAATGGCTCTAAGAGTCAGAATGCAAACACACAGATGCCCCCTGTGAGTTCTAGAAAGTCAAAAGATAAAACTAAGTTCTCATAGCTGTACAAGATAAAATAGTCGTAATATTTTTAAATAAACACACAAGATTTACTTCATTTTTTAAATACTTCATGGTGTAAAATTGTAGAAGATGACGCTTTTTACTTTGGCTCTCATTACTTCCACTGGCTTTTACTGACATTTTCCATTGTTTTACTTTCTTATTAATATAGCTATGTCATTTTTCCACTCCATTTTACTCTTGAGAAAGGAGTCCATGTAACACAGGCCAGCCTCTAACTGGATATGCAGCTGAGAATAGCCTCAAACTTCTAATCCTTCTGCCTTCAGCTCCTGTATGCAGGAATTACATACGTGTGCCATCATGCCCAGTTTCCACGGTGCTGGGCATAGAGCACAAGGCTTCATGGGTTCCACCAGTCAAGCATTCTCTCAGTTGATCTACATGCCAGCACTGTTTTATTTTTGAAGATAATTATTTGTTTTGTCTATTTTGGTAAAAAAAACAAATTCCAGCCTGTGAGAACCAGAATAGCAATTTACAAAGTAAAATGCTATGTAGATTCTTGATAACATCATATAGCTTCTTGATAAGATATTAAGATTTCCCCCTTTCCACAATAATTGAAATCATTCCATTGAGTTTACACCTCATTGTAAATCCTTGCAGTTCATTACCTAGGCCCTAGACTACACGATGACATCATCAGCACATGTTTCTGTGATACATAAAAATAGATTAGGATGGAATTAATTTTTCTCTAAAACTAATATTCAAATTTACAATCATGTTAAAAATCATCTGTACCTGAAAACAGTACTGAAATGCTATGGTAGTTATGAGATTCTATGGTGTGGATATTTTTAAGTATTTTGATTTAAAAAAAATCACAAAATATTTTTTTGCTTTAAGTTATAACCCATGCAACCACTGAACATTAAAAGGATGCTGCTGCACATTTGCCTGGATGACTATTCTTGGGATGCTTTTGTGTGTTTCTCTGAATTATCTACCCTCTAATTCAATTGCCCTTTCTGCTAAAATCACAGATCGCAACAGAACTAAAACGGATTATTAGTGTGCCAAGAGTCTCCCCACCTTCACGATGGAGATATAATTATGGTACCAATTTAATTACTACTGTGTCTTTAATACTTGAATTAATGGCCCAAATGCAAACCATGTATTTTAAATTGTTCAGACAATATAAAATGCACTGCAAGAAAAACTAATTTCCTGTTTGTTATCTAATGGTAATTGAAACACAATAATTCATTATGATGCTGGGTTATTGTCGTATGTGAAGTGACAAGTCTCAAAGATAAAGGCGATAGATATAATGAGAAAAGGGCTTTTTAAAAATAAATTCGCCGAGAAGTTGACAACAAATGCCAGTTGTAAGGTATAAATGGACAAGAAACCCAAGAATGAGACTTGCTTTTAAATAATATGAATCCCAAGGAGATTATTACTTCTTAGGATGCTTTTATATGTTTCTCTGTATGTAGTCATACAGGAAATAAATCTGTATGTAGTCAAATAAAGATTTTAGAAATACCTGAAATAATGAATTTTGACATTTCCGTGCCATTATTTAATGCATACTTTGTCTCTCAAGCCTTGCTGTAAAATGATTTTAAACTTACGAACATAAGTACACATATACATATATGCATAACAAGCTATTTTATGCAGGTATAGATTCGAGATCATAAGGATGGCATATGCTTATGTACTGAAAGAAATTACATAATTTCAAAAATAGATACTGAATTAAATAATTAGAAAACTAACTACTTGAATAAATTTATAGGTTTTCAAAAGTCAGTTATAAAATATTGTCCCTTACAAAGGGAGCAAGTTTATCTTTGCTTTAATTTTCCAGCTAATGAAAGAAATGTTTAAATACTCTATAGTGAGATTATTAACGTCTACAAAACTAAAACAGATGCGTGTCGTAATATACCATTAAATTTATGATATACATAGAACCCTTACATAAGGCTGACCGAAGGCTGGTGACTCTAATTTGCTCTAGATTTATAATAACCTGATCTGGTTTTCGTAAGTACTGGAACCCTTTAAACAAAATTAGAAAGCAGTTGAGCTTTGTGTGATTAAAGATGCAATTCCCGTTGGGGTAATGAGAAAACTTAGAACATGTTTCTTTCTTTATGGATGTTTCTATAATAAACAAGACTGCCATATATTATATATTTTGTTACTATGATTTCCTTGTTTTTAATTATAAAATAAACCAACTGACTTTCAGTGGAGTCTCAAATTGAAACTATGCCAAAATTGAGCTGAAGAATGTGCACTGAACTTCATAAAAATCCTTACAATTGTTCCCAGGGTCTTGGGGTCTCATTGTACAAAAACTAGTTCATGATTTTTCTAGAGCAAAATACCACTCTGATTTAGACCATGCAGAAGAAAGTCTTGCAGGCCCAATATACTTCAAATCTACACAATGGCATGGATAAAACTGTTCATGAGTAATGATTACTAGATTCATATAATTTACAAACAGAAAAAAATCCCGTCTATTTTATCTCTTATACAAATAACATTAACAGCACTATTTAGAAGTTCATTTGGGGAATTCCAGTGCATCATGTCCTAAGCCCTAAATCTGTAAGAATGCTTTGTCTTAAATAATGTGAACACTTATTCTTTTTCTAAGAAAAAAGTCAGTCAAAAATGTTAAAGCAGATATCAATATAAGAATATATGTATATATTTGTGTATACAGAAAATAAGTGCATGAAAAAGTATTAATTCATTAAAAGTTTATCTCTCATAAAACCTTTATTAGCCCTTGAAGTCTTTGCCACTTCATATAAAATGATTTATCTTTTGAATAACAAGGTTCCATTAATCTGTTTGACAAAGGAATTTTTAAATCATCTAAATAATTTATTTGGATGAATTATTTAAATTCTGTAAAATATATATATGTATGTGAACATGTGTATGTGTATATCTGTATCTGTATGTTTGTGTACTAGCAGAGTATTGCCAAGAAAACACAGGCCAGGATTCAGATGTACTGTCCTTGACATCGCCAGTGTGGCTTGGTGTCACTGCCACCTAGGAGGTCTTTGATCACCCACTGTTGCCACAAGACCTCTGTTAGAGGGCCATTTGTGCTCCATTTGGCAGCACACAGTGATTTCATGTCAGAAAAACTTACACATTATTTTCTATATTCATTTTCAATTTTGCATTTTCTCTGAAATTGTAGGCTGACATAATTTTCAACATGTAAGGATAATAAAGGCAATTATTGAGCCGTCATAGAAAACTGCTTTCCTCCGTGTGCTGCTGTAGGCGCTACTGGAGAGTGGCAAACGCATCCCCTCCCCATAGAAATAGGTTGTTTGTGCAAACAAAATATGCCTGGAGGAGGGGTAGGAAGAGACACCAGCCAACCGGATGAGCAGGGCCCAAAGCCAAGGGACATAGGTAGGACGTGGGGATAATATATGCTCAACAGGCATGCCATTCAGAAAATTTGCTGTCCAGCACAGTTATTCACATAGTTTTTCTCAACCAAATCTTGTTCTTTTGCCTCTGAAGGTGTGTGTGTGTGTGTGTGTGTGTTTAACTCCCGTGAATTCAAGAAAGGTACAAAACGTATGACAGTTCCTAATCACTGTTAATTTTAAACATGCAAGGAAATTAGCTTTAATTGAGTCTCTCCTCTGCCTCTACCAAACGTGTTTTTTTTTTTTTTCTTTTTTCTTTTTGGTTGCTAGGTCCTTGCTTTGGGAAACTCCGTCCTGCTGGTTTGTATTTGTTTGTTTTATTATTTTTTCCTGGAGGGCGCTCTTCTCCCTGTTGTCCTAGTTTAGGGTGAGTTCATTTTAGTTTTCATTTCCATTTTGTGGCACAATCCCCTCAACACAGTCTTTTCAGTTTCACTTGCCAAAGAGGTCTTCATTTGACACCCACAGTTGCCCTGCATCTTTGTGGCATTTGGTAAACTTGCAAGGCCTGTCTCTCACTTATGTAAAGCCCATCTGTATCACTTGCCACTTGACACAAAGAGTCAGGAGAAGCTAGCAGATTGATACAATTACAAAAAGGCCTTGCTCTAACAAGATGACTATGACACTTTGGGCGACAATGACCTGAAGAAGTCTTAAGTCTTAAAGTTTATGTTTTTAAATTAAGAAGACAGAGAGAGAGAGTAGTCGAGAAAACATCCTGGGGGTCTTTGGACAGCACTGTCCCTCTTGCCCCCACATCCTGGGCTGGAGCCAGAGTCCCTCCCGTATGCTGTGCCAGCTATATCTTCAGCCAGTCCACATTTTGTAGACTTGACTCTAAACTCTACACGGCACAGGAAATAGTAGGATTATATGCCACTCAGAATAGCATGATGCGTACCAACCTCTGAGGTAACTTGGAAACACTTCACCTGTTCTCGGAAGCCTTCTGAAGAACACGGGCTTCCGCAGCTCTCAGCAGCTGCAGTTGCTCATGGAATAAATGGGAGTCAGGATGCTATCGCTGTGGATTTACCATGATACACTTCAGGTCAGCATCAAAAAGTTACTTGGTCCGGATATGACAGCACCACTTTAGCCAATATAGATAATGGAAATCAAATAACCTAGAAATCTTGCAAGAATATGTTTATCAGCATACATGGTAAGTATACATATCATTGTTACTTATTAACAAATGCAATAAATTAATTTAAATAGCTTGTTTAAGTCAGTTCATTGAAGTATTTTTGCGAGCTATATGTAACTTCTTACATATTGGTGATTGCAATCAAAATTTGAGTGATTTCCAAAACTTAATTTAATAAAAATGTTGTACTTAAATATGTATGTTCTTATTTAGTAAACACAATAACAAATAAGGGCAATTTGTTGAGGGTGTTTTCTAGTTTCCGCTACAAAATGATCTAATGTGTGTGTGTGTGTATGTGTGTGTGTGTGTGTGTGTGTGTGTTGAGAAGACAGGAAGTCACACAACTAAGACAGTATTTATTGGCATTTGTACCCCGAGTGTAGCAAAGTTGAAATATCGGTGGCCTTGTCACTGTGCATAGAACAGCCATTCTCCCTTGTGCCCTGCCTGTCCCAATCACTGTCACGACACAGGAGAACCTCAGATACTGGAGTCAATGAAACTTTTTAACCCTGGCACTCAGGTTGTATTTGAAGGCAAAACATCTTTGAGAAATTATGCATTATTCTGAAGAGTATCACACTTCCATCCTAGCTCATTATGCCTCACTAAGCTGTCAAAGCCCAACCTTACTCCTATGAGCTAGAAACACATTTTAACCATTCTTGTTTTTGTCCTACCAAATTACCAGAAATTTTGTTAATGCTTTCTTAAAGAGAAAATTAATTAATAGAAATTTCCAGAGAGGTAGACATTGTGCTGTCATTTTATATGTTGGTTTTCTTTCTAATCATGCTCTTACATTATAGTTTTTTTTAATGAATTTTCCCTGGAATGCTAGTTCATAGTGTCAAGAAAACCATACTGACTCTCTCTGTGTTTGTCTTTGATTATGGGGAGGGAGCTTTGGGTCTTCATCATAATGACCACTGTTAACGTAGCCTGCCACATTCTCTGTCTATATTGATTTAATGTGTTCTCTACCCAAGAGTTCCTTAGATTGTGATTACATATTACCAGCTATTAGGGCAGCATTCTTCAGATGTTGCAAACTGCTAACCTTACCAAGTCTTGCCAACAAATACAATAAAGTTTGTTTGCCCCATGGGTATAGGATGACACAATCTTTTGATATTTAATCTGTTATTTGTCAACTTAAAAACGAGATTTTGGAGCTGGGAATATAGTTCAAGGGTAGAGCACTGACCTATCATGTGTCAGGTCCTAGATTTTATTGCGGGGGGCAAATAAGAGATGATGTATTTCGCCGGGCGTTGGTGGAGCACGCCTTTAATCCCAGCACTCGGGAGGCAGAGGCAGGCGGATCTCTGTGAGTTCGAGGCCAGCCTGGTCTGCAGAGTGAGTTCCAGGACAGCCTCCAAAACAATACAGAGAAACCCTGTCTCGAAAAACCAAAGAGAGAGAGAGAGAGAGAGAGAGAGAGAGAGAGAGAGAGAGAGAGAGAGAGAGAGAGAGAGAGAGAGAGATGATGTATTTCTAGCTTCTGGGGCTCGAAGCAAGGGCAACTGGGAACATGGGATATTCTTAACCTCACACCAACCTTGAGCATGAGACGTTTTTCTTTGCAAACAAATGTGTAAGCATAGATTCCTGGCATTCTCCACAGATCCTATGGGCTCCTCCAGAGCTAGCAAAGCATCTCCTTCCATGACTACCCAGTTTCTGCTATTGTTTCGTGGTCTCTCGGAATGGCATTAAAGAAAACAGAAGTGCATCTTGACCCATTTGCCTGTTCTCTGGAAAGTCAGAAGTCAGAGCAAAAGGGCTGTGTGGGAGCTAGAGAGAAGGTAAGATGCTTGCAGTGCAGGCATAGCAACCCGAGTGGATCTCACAGAAGGCATGTGAAAGCTGGCATATTGTATGTGTTTGTAAGCCCAGTGCTGGAGAGGTAGAGACAGAAGGGTCCCTACGTAGCCTTGCTAGTCAAACATTCTAACCCAACTGGTAAGCTCCACATTCATGGAAACGCTCTGTCAAACTGAATTTGACCTTCGGCCTGTATCCACAGGTGCCGGGTACACACACACACACACACACACACACACACACACACACACACACACACGTGTCCGTACACACATCTACATACATATGGTAGATACGTACACATATAAGCACACCGTGACCTTACTTGCCGCCCATTTTCCTTTTATCCGGTTCCTGTTTTATTCCAGGAACCTTTAGGCATCATAGCTCCAAGCTGCAGTGGACACTACTTTGTATTCTGAACAAACGTGTGACTTATGTGTCACTCTATAAGACACGAAGACGTGTGCTTCCCTGTACTCGAGGGGCCTATGTGATACTAATGTATTTGTTACTCACAGTTCATGCTAACTGAAATTCACATTCCTTGACTTTCTCCTCTCCTGGCTGGATGCTGTCCTCACCCCCATCCGTGCCCGTGTCTTCTCTTAAGCTTTGTTTTCATTCTTGGACTCGTTCGGTTTCCCTCTGTGTTTATCAGAAGTAAATGCTGTTTTTCATTACTTTTGTATCATGTCATACCACATAATTATGTTTCACCAAGGGAGGACACATGAAAGAAATCACACACTTCCAACCAACAAACAGAGGCAAACAGCCTTGCAAGGCTTATTACAAACTGCAGAGTTTAGTAGCCTCAGCTGGACAAATGAGTAAGACTCGTGGCAGAAACAGCTAAACACAGAATGTCTTAAGACAAGCAAGCAGAGCTTTAACTTAAAACCACAAGTAGTTGATAGCCCCACACATGCTAAGATTTCCTTTTTCAAGGGAGAGTGTTTGCTTAGCATCCAGACAATCTACAGATCCTGAGTCATTTCAACATCCCAGTGCAGGATGTTTCCTGTTCACATTGCTAATGTTATTCTTAATTTTATTTTATAGTATCTATTTCCCCATACAGATTTCTAGTATGACTACAGGTTAAGACAATTTCTCATGGAATGTTACTGCCTCAGGTATAAATTGGAAAATATGACCAATCATGAATTACTGCACAAGATGAGAACTATATATATGAAATATACTCATATATATATATATGGAATACACTCCGTTTTTAAAAAGTGTCTGTTTCATATATATATAAGATGAAACCTGGAATCTCACATATAATATGTGAACTCTTACCCATTGATCCAAATCACACATTGCAGACCCACAAAATACCTCTTGCAACATTTTGAAATACTGGGTGACATGTAATTTCTAAAAATGTATATTTTGTAGTTCTGTCGGAATGCTGTTCTCTTTGAACAGTTTCGCCAACTTTCAAATTACCTGATATTTTCTTTAATTTTATTTCAGAGCACATGAATACCTGCCAACTGTTTGTTAACAAATCACCCAGAAGCTTCACTATTAAAACTTTACTAGAACAATTATTGTGTTAATTGCTGGATAGACTCCATTAAATGGAAATCATTATAAGTCTCTTCCTGTTTGGAAGCTGATATTAGTATCTATGACTGTGTTGTCCAGGCCTAAAGTGAGGTGACCAAGGGTGATGGCTCATATCTGAATCCTAGGACTCAGGAAGCTTAGGCAGGAGGATGACAGAGTGTGCAAGGTGTACCTGATCTACACAGTTAGTCCACGGCAAACCTAGATAGCTTCAAGAATCTGGACTTGAGAAATGTGCAACTGTATTCTGAATCCATATTCTCCAAACCACCATAAAACAAGGCACAGCAGAGCCTGTCTATAATTCTCAAGCTTCTGCAGAGACATGGGAAACTGGAGGGCTAGCCTGGTCTACAGAGTGCTGAGAAAGAGGAGATGAGGAGATGAGGCTCAAATGAGGGTGGTGAGAACCAATACCCACAGTTGTTCTCAAATATCCAGCTGTCCCCCATGTCCCCGTGTGTCTGTCTGTCATTCTCTTTTCCCTCTTCTCTCTCTCTCTCTCTCTCTCTCTCTCTCTCTCTCTCTCTCTCTCTCTCTCTCTCTCTCTCTCTCTCTGATACACACACATACCACACAAAAAGTTTATTTATTTTTTATTTTATTTAGTTATTTACTTATATTTTTTTTTTGAGACAGGGTTTCTGTGTGGCTTTGAAGGCTGTCCTGGAACTCGCTCTTGTAGATCAGGCTGGTCTTGAACTCATAGATATCCACCTGCCTCTGCCTCCCAAGTGTTGGGATTAAAGGCATGTGCCACGACTGCCCAGCCAAAGTTTATTTTTTAACTCATTAAGATTAGGCCACTGTTGGCCAGCCTGGTCTATAGAGCGAGTTCCAGGACAGGCTCCAAAACAATACAGAGAAACCCTGTCTCAAAAAAAAAAAAAAAAAAAAAGATTAAGCCCCTGTCTCAAAAGAAATATTTTCTTGTCATCAGACAAGGTTCTTATAAGCTACACTAAATAAAATTAAACTTCCATTAATTACAGTATTTGTTTATTTTCTAAATGTTTCAACTTATTTCTATTATTCCAACAACCTGAAATATAAAAGATTAAAGTCAGTTCTTAAAATTGAATGAGTGATTTGATCAATTGCTTTGTCTATGTTCATACAACCAAAAGAAACAACACGTTTTCTACCATTTAAAGCCCGTAACAGAAAACATATTTTAAAAAGTAAAATTTCTTCTCAATGCTAAGTAAAAACTGGGTGCATCTACATCTAGCTAGATCCTTCATATTCTCTTCTTATTTGATTCCACAGTTCCGTTCAATTGGAATTTGGTAAATACTATTTGAAATCACTTCGCTCTGCAGAAGTTTTAGAAACATGACCAGCGAGTTATCTGGCTCATCCTTTCAAAGAAGCCACAGATGTTGTTATCCAAAATAGAAACTAACTGGAGGATAAATCAGTTTTGCTCACTAACCTTGAGAAGGATCTATTTTTTAAAAAAATCTGAAAATAGTCTCATGATACGAAGAACAGGTTCGCCTACCTTTGCTTCACATTAATTTCAGACTTCTGTTTGATCCTGTGTTTGTTGAAGATCATCTTACTATATAGCCCTGGTTGCTCCAACTCTGGAATGCTGGGATTAAAGGTTATACACCATCATATCATCATGCCCAGATCTAAGATATATTCTTTCTCTGTCTCTGTCTCTGTCTCTGTCTCTGTCTCTCTCTCTCTCTCTTTCTCTCTGTATGTGTGTGTGTTTGTGTGTCCAAGAGCCTCGTGCACACTGCGTATTATAACCCTGAGCCAAGTTTGCCTTTCAGCTTTCCACGAGCAACACAAAGGGAAAGGCTTTTAAAAGATTGCCAAAAGCATAGTGAGACCAGAAAGAACTCACAGAGTCCAAAGCTGGCCGGTTACTTATCCCTCATACCTGACCCTGACTCCCTGGGGTCTTTTTCTGCCCTCTCCTCCCAGCATCTAGTAACTACAGTCCAGTGTTACCTCTCCCACAGAGATACCCTTCCTTCTCAACTCTGATGCCCCAACTAGGGCAAGGCCTCAAAGGAGAGGTCAGCCTTTTCAAAGCTAGATCCCATCAGAAATCAACCCTCGCCTTCCAACCCCTCATTCTGCTAATTCTTAGGAGGAAGAAGGGTTGCACATTCTCTGAAAAGTCCCCTATGGAATACTCCTAGTCTCCCCCATCAGCTCCAGTGACACATTAGAGAGTAGCTGCTAAAGCTGTGTCTTTCACAGGTAATCTTCATTTCTGGACAAAGCCATTGACTCAGGAGAGAAAGACCTCAGGCCAAGGGGATATAACCAAAATATGTTGTTAGTTAACAGCTGGGTTCCAAATTCAGAAAGTAGTTTTTAGTTAGTTTTTGAAGTCTAGCCATGCTCTGTGGATACGAGATGAATTTTGGCATTGTAAACAGTGCCCTTCACCTATAATTTCAGCACTATGTGACTTCTCTAGCCCAGCCAGGTCTACAGAACGAGTGCTGGGACATCTAAGGTTTTACAAATAAACCCTGTCAACAAAACCAAAACCAGGAAAGAAAGAGAGAAGCAGGCAGGGAGGGAGAGAGGGAGGGAGGGAGGGAGGGAGGGAGAGAGGGAGGGAGAAAGATAGAATCAGTGCTCTCACTGGCATACTGTAGGAATAAAGTAGTAGGCTGGGTTTCTTGGACGACTTGGAGAGACACCTCTATGGAGTTCCCACTGTGTGTGTCCACTGGATTTAAGTGGGACGGAAGTGGGTGTCAGGTCAAGAGAGGAACGACCATTAGCCAGGCACCACCCAGGTATCTGGTGCTGGGGAGACCTTTTAAGGTCCCTGTATATCAGCACTGGCCTTCTGCTGGCATGCCCCAGTAACACCTTGGTAATTGAGGACCTGCATCTGTTCTCATCTCCTAGCTGACCAGTTACGCGTTGTTAAACATTCTCTTGTTTCCCCTTTTTTAAGTCTTCCTCCAGGAAGGCAGGAGTGCTGGCATATAAAAGGAGAGACCAGCACGGGGGCCCCTGGCTTGAGCTCTGCCTGCTCTTTCTATCCCTGCTCCATGAGGTGATCTTGCCTGGAAGTTTGTTTCCAGGACTCAGAGCGCCCCGTGTGTTTCCCTTACACGGCAATGTGGAGACGGTAAGTATGAGTTCTTCAGAGTGGCGAGCTAGAGATCTGTTTGGTTGGCTAGTTGGTTGTGTTTTCAGCCTTGGCAGTGGAGTCTTTGCCAGCTGTGTTGCCCAGAGGGAACCAGCCGCAGAGGAGAGTCAAGCCAGATATGTTGGGTCTGCTTGCACCTGCTTCTGCTATACCTCGCTGCCTGGATCCGAGTCCTGTACACTGGGCTAGGACAATGTGGAAAGGACAGGTGTGTTCATGGGGTATCTGCCCACCCATCAGCTCTATGATAAATGAGGAAAGTAAAGTAGCATAGGAAAGTTAATTTGCCCGACCAGACACAAGATATTGGAAACTGCATCTTTGAGACTTTAAGTGTATATTCCGTCCCGGTACATGTCTCATTTCAGTTTCCAGAAAAGCGTTTCTTATATAAAAGCAGCCTTCCGTAGCGGCCTAATGCATCAATTAAAAACAGGTATGTTTGCTGTGAGTCAAGCAAGACAGCACCACCCTTGGTGCGTCCTCGTCCCCTCCTCCTTCAGCATCTTCGTGATCTGCTCCTCAGAGATGGAAACCCGTTGACCTACAAAATGCTCGTACCCTCAGCCCCGCCCCGTGTTCTTCACCTTGGCAAATAATTCATTCAACAAGCACACTGCCGTGTAGCTGTTGAGTGCTAGGCTTGATGGACTGGAGGAATACAAGGATAAATAAATGCTGCCATCAAGAAGATTGGAGGGAGGAAGCAGCCACTAATGCGGCAGCGTCCTCAGTTTAGGTTTTTACATCTGCTAGAGAGAAAGGAACGGGATTGCCCTTTAGCAGGTGAGAAGAAGGTAAGGCGTGCATTGTCATGCATCTCTTGAGGAATGCGAAGGCAAGTGAAGTAACACCTGGTTTCAGGAATGCCAAACCTAGAGGATGCCGCCTGCAATTTGTTGCGAATCTGCCAGCGTGTAAACACGTGTCAATGCAGAGTAGAATTTAAAATGCAAATCACTTCAATAAAAAAGGAAAGGCTCCACGGAAACCCACAGGTTAAACTATTAGAAACGATCACCATCATAATATCACCCTACACGCCTATTATCTCTGTCCATTTTCCCAGGCTCTGGGAGGTACAAGGGTAGGCATTAGGATCTCCACTCCAATGAAGTTGAAGTAAACCTCTAGGCTATTCATAGAGAATAATAAAGTGTGGATGGAATTTACCTGCCGAAGAAGGGGTGGTGCTATCTAACAGTTGTAATGAGCTGTGATGTTATCCCCAATGTGCTCTGTATGAGACCTTAGGCAAGTCAATTAACCTTTTCTGGCTACAATTTGCTCATCTGTAAAAATAGAGGTTCCAGATCTTCCACTCCCAAGGGCTCTTCAGCACCTTGTCAGGGCTCTCAGCTGAGTGAGTGGCTGGGGCAGCCTCAGAATCGCTCCCCTCCCCCATCCCAATACTTCCTGTTGTTTCAAGTGCCTTGTCAATATCAAAGCAGGAGGGAAACTTCCTGGTTTCCTGGATGTAGAGTTTGCTCATATAAACAATTTAATTTGGAGGCGTGTATGTTCGTGTTTGTGTGTGGAGACCAGAGATCCACCTCTAGTTTCAGCTTGTTTGTTGAAACAGGGTCTTTTTCTGACCTGAGACTCATCTGTAATAGCCTGACTGCCAGCAAGCCCCAGGGCTCTATCTGCCTGTCCCAGCTTCCCCAGCACTGGAAATGAGTGCCTAGCACCACCTCTGGCTCTGTTGCTTAGGTTAAAAGGAGCAACCTCAGCAAATGCTATACAATTGAGGTATTAATAGAATAAACATTAACTGATTTTTAGTCCTCTATTTTAATAATAATTAGGCCCAGCAGATTGGAAGGTTGGTGAAGAGGCCTTACTAGTGGGAAGCTATGAGGTTGCATATACATCTAATGACCCCTGGTTGGAGAGACGACGGAGAAAATTCTAGGTGAATGTAATTGACAAGCCCAGACACGATAGGAATTTAGGACTGCTCTGTACCCTTTCTGGCCAGGAGATGTAGGAGGATTCTTTTCTCCAACAGACCACAAAATTGA